CCCACTGTCCATGTCACTGATAAAGATGTTAGATCTTTAGAGGGTTTTTTTCCTCCATCTTTCTAGAAGAGCTAAGAGGTTTTTACAGTACTCAAAAACTAGCCCTTAAACAGGACTCACTGAAATGTGTTATTTTTCATGGAGACTTTACGTTCTGGACAGAAGATTTCTATATAGCTAAACTTTGTTTTGGTTAGTGTTGAACCATTTATTTTTTCTGTTGGCTGTAAAACTTAGTGTCCCGATTCTTTGTTGAGGTGTGGGGGTAGCATGATATCTTGAGAGAAGTGGTAGTGTAAGTACCTAAAGACAATGTGAACACTAGATTTTGGGGACTGTTGTCCTTGGTTGTTTTTTGAGGTTAATGGGGAGTTGATTGGCTGGCTGGTGGTAACAGTTGAAAATAGTTTTACCAGTTATGTCACTGTGAACTTCCAGTTTTATTTACTCTCAAATTTCTTCTTTCTTTTTTTTTTTTTTGTCTTCAGTAGCATGAAGTCCAAATTTATAAACTCATTTTTCTTCAGTGATTCCATATGCTTTTTAAACAGCTTGGTTTTGAAACTAACTATCACAGCACCTTCTCAGTTACTTGAATAAATCAAAAGGGGAAATGTTAACAAAAGGAAACACTATCAACAAAATCTGAAGGTTCTCTCTGTCTTTGAAGATTATTATATATATGCTGATTGTTACTTCACTCCTTTCTTTTATATTGATTTCTGGCTTTTTCTTTCTGCTTTTGGCCCTTTCTGTGTGGACTGAAAAGGAAAAGGTACAGTAATACTGCACTGTGCATGTACCCTGCATGAACAACTCCTGTCTTGCCCAGTTTGCATGTTGTCTGTGCCAGAATTTAAGATGCCAGATAAGCAGCAAGTAAGACAGTGCAGTAACCAGTCAGTGGATAATACTGCTGGCCAGACTGGGAATTGGTTATTGAATGCATGTGCATTGCACACTTCCAAATTCTCTAGGCAAGAACAGCAGAGGAACAGGTAAATGTGCTATTTAGAATGTTTTAGGGCAGCAGGTCTATTGCTGTTCCTAAAGGCATTATTTTGGGGCAGGGCAAAGGCTTTTCCATGAGCTCACTCCCCATCTATTTCTACCTGAGAGCTGTCAGGTGGGAGCACTGTGGAGTAGGAACCCAATATCAAGAGCTACAAGCCTGAAACTCAGTGAAACCCATGCAAGCAAACAGCAACTTCTGAAAGCCCTGCTCATGCAGCTGAGGAGGGACCAGTGGGTTCCTGATGTAGTAGCCACAGGTGGTCTGACTTAAGCCCTGCTCTGAGTAATCATTTTACTAGACTTAGCTGAAGTCAAGGGGTGGGGAGGAGGGCTCAGCATGCCCTAGTTTAGGGGACAGCAGTTGTGTTATTGGGGAGGTGGTGTCTACAGGCTGTCCCATGAGCTCACCTTCTGTTGTCCTCCTGATCCCCAGGCCCCAAAGGGATATCCGTCCTGGGAGAGCATTTACTCTTACTGTGCCTAATAAAGGTGGGAGGAAAGGACATCTTCATAAAATTTGTAATATTTGAGTAAATCTGCTGAAAATAAAGCAGACTTTTTGAACTCAGGAAAATCATGGCTTAAGGAGAAGATCTTGATGAAAATGTGGTGATCTGAGAAGTGACCACTTCTGGAGTCCTAAGCTTATTTCTTTGTTCAGGAAAGTGACTAATTTAATATTTGCAAATTTGTTATTTTTCTTTACTTGTAGAGCTGTATCAAAGTGCCATCTTGTTTTGACTTCAGACTTTGAAAGCTACACAAATAGTTACTGCCAGAAACTTTTCAGATTAAGAATTGCTTTATATAAATTGCAAAATTAAAAACATTTTTTGACAATTGATAGCCACCTTTGTTTCAAGCACTTGGAAAAAGCTTAATCCTATATGTGCCTTAATTCCAGGCTGATAATATTAGTCTGGAAAGTCATCAGACCAATTTTTCTAACCTTTTGCTTTTATCCATTTGTATTACTCTACCAGTTGATTAATAGGAGCTCATTGATTCAGGTGTCTTGCTTTGCTTTGGAAGGAAATTTGTCCATCTTATTCATAGTTAGTTTAAAAAAAAAAATCTTATGCCTTCTCCTTGTGCATCATCTTTTGACTGGCTGGAAACAAGAACAGGTGTTGATGTGGGTTTCTCTGGGGTTAGCTTTCCAAGTAATAATCTCTGCAAATGATGGACAGTTCTTTCTTAGGAGGGAATAACTTGAGTCATACAAGTCATTTAATTTTGGGGTGGAATGAGGGTCTTGTTTATTTTATTTTGAATTGACACTGTGGGTGAGGGAAGAAGAAAATGGATTTGAAAGTTCATGTGGGTATACATATAAAGATGTAAAGTTGGATTGAAAGCAGTAGTGATTCTGAAGCTGCTGCTCTTTTCGGAGAAAGCTGTGAAAGATTCTCCTTTTTCATGCCTTACAGGAAACAAGTTGTTGAATGCCTTATTGATGGGTTTAAGCTAAAGTGGAAGGAACAGAATGCAATTCACCTTTAATAGCAAGAGCTGCAGTATTCACCTTATTTTTAAACATATTTCTATGGTTAGCAGATGGTCTTTTTGTAAATGAACTGTATTTCCAGACCTCTGGAACGGGAATTATTTATTTGTGACTTGAAGGACACTCTTTGGAGAATACCTCTCTGGGGAACTTGTTTTCCAGCTGTAGCTCTGTTCTCTGAGCTTCCATGGATATCTTCCATGGTTTTTCTTCTTTTTCTTTGACATGTTCTGATCTATGCCATGTACACCAGGACAACACCCTTGTCACAGTCATGTCAAGGTGTTTCCTAGTAGCGTGACAAAGGATGATTTTTATTTCCATCACACAGCTTGTGCTTTCATCTTATCCTAATAAAGATAGAAAGTAGTTTCTTTACAGTTTCTGATTATTTAACTGTGACAAGTAATCTTCAGCTACCTGTAGTTCAACTGAACATCTCTTACAGTAGAAGCAATATCTTTATGAAATGTTTTTAAGTGTAAACAAGCAAATGTCAGTTCTGATTTGAAAATACAACTCCCTTGTTCTGTCTTTGGCATAAGCCAGACTGCAGAGGAAGAAAGAGGAGATGCTTCCTTCTTCATGCAGCGTCACGTGTTGTGCTGGCAGGCAATGCACAGTAAAAATACAAGGACAGCCTCTTCCAGAACTGCCTGGGCTGCTTGTTACCTGATGAAGAGTCGATGATTTTTATTGATACGGTCAACTGAAAGCACCTTCCTGTCTTCTTACCACAGATTTAAAGAGCAGAGCTCTTCAGCATTCACAAGACTCCTGATGTGTCTGAGCACATATGGTGTCCTCTTGACCACTACTGTCATCGTGTTTTAGATCAAAACTGACAGTTTTCTATAACTGAGTGTTCCTTGTAGGTTTGTAAGAGCATGGCTTTTCTACCTCTCCCAGACCCTGTCTCATTTGGTGTGCAGAACAAGTGGTGTTTGTAACACCCTCTCTGTCCCTGCCTCTCTGCTACCACTATCCAGATTTTACAGGAAAAGGAATTTTTTACTTTCTTTTGGGCTGCTACAGCAGATGAGTTTATCAAAGTAGATGCAAGAAAACAAGGAATAGAGTGGAAAAATTATTTGAACTTGCCCCTAGCCTCTTTCTCCTAACAGTGCTTTAGAGTAATCCATGAGTTCAGGTATTCTTCTTGCTAGTGTTTATTTTGGTCCTTTCTGTGATGCCTCATCATACTGGTAGAATTTGAAAGGTGACTCCCACTGTGTTTACTCAGCCATCAATCTGTCTGTGCAGACTGATGAACACATCACTTCGTATTGGGGAAGAAATGAGAGATACATCCATGCTCTGTTTCACATCTAGCACATCGCTGGCGGTGCTGCAGCTTGGAGAAATGTGTTCCATGCCTTGGGCAGTTCTCCCAGGGTGTTTCTGGTGCTCAGCTGCTGTCTGTTACCCTGGATCCTGTCCTTTCCTTTTCTTGCTCAAGGTGAAGTCCTGCACACAGTGTTATTGTGGTGGTACTGATGTATTTCAGATCTCTAGTCTTCATTCCAGCAGTCCTCACAAATAATCTTCTCCTCCTCCTCCACTCAAAAGCAGGGAAAAAACAGAGAGAGGTGGAAAAAGCAAATCCAGAACATTTGTTTTCTTAGCTTTTAAGAGCAATGCACCAAAGACAGCCAGAGGGTTATCATTCATAACACCTGAAGTGCACCATCATATTTTTAGTCTCTCGTGGTGGAAGCATACCAGTCCTTAGCACAAACAGAGGTGCCTGTTGTTTATTGTCCACAGCGGGCAGGCAGGGCAAGGCCATGCAGCAGTCCAGGCCCCTAGCAGGCTGTGCAGGCATTAACTCCTCCTTTGCAGTAGCCCATGTCTCAGGAAGGCAAATTCTGTCACAGTGTGGTGATCATTACTGTTTCCTCATAAAATAAGAGCTATGTGCACTAGAACTCATCGAGCATTTTAATTGTGCAGCTTGGGGACACTAGTTCATCTTTCCTGCAGCTTCTGGCCTTTATCAACATAAGGAGTAAGTTACATAAAAATACACTTACCAAAAGCCTGTGTTGGGGATTTGTAGTTGATGTTCAAATCAACATAAAGAAGTATAAAGCTTGGAAGACAATTTTCTGTCATCTTTGCTACAACTTAAGCACCATTACAGAATATTAAAAGGAAAACTAGATATTGCTTTGATTTTTCTAGTAGTTTCTTACTCAGTTTGTCATACCTCTGTATTTCCATATTCCCTGTGCCTATTTTGTACTTTGGAAAACAATTATTGTATTTCCCTGCAAGTCACTGTCCCACTATCTCTGTATTAACATGGGCTTTCATCTTCTAAACTCTTTGTTAAGAACTTAACCATAAGCCTGTGAATCGTTAATGTATCCCAAGTGAATTGTGTATGTAAATAATTGCATGATGTTAATTTTAATCATTGCTCTTTCTTTCTCTTTATTTTCTTATTAATTGTTCTGCTCTAGATCAAAACCAGGCTCTTCGGCTGTGTCTGGGCAGCACTGCTGTTGGGGCCCAGTATGGGGCTATCTCTGCTCTCAGTATCAACAATGACTGTTCAAGGCTCCTGTGTGGCTTTGCGAAAGGACAGGTAATTCCCATGGGATGAGATGGTCCAGTGCTCTGTCCTTCTGTAGGCTGTTACGGAGAGACTGTCCAGAGGTGACAATAGCTCCAAGCCAATCACACTCAACATGTAGCTGTTTGTTAGTTGTTTTTGTGCTGAGAAGCAGTATGCATGGCTTGATCTTCCTGGAGGTTTTTTTGGCCAGCCAATTCCTCCATCCAGTGAGCTAACTCAGAGTGTTTGGGGTAGGTTTCTGTGGAGGAAATGGGTAATGCAGAACATAGTGAAGAATTCAATTAATGGTGGCTTGTTGTGAGAGAAGTCCTGCTCCTGATAAGCTGAAATGTGTGCACCAGGACAACCAACTTAGTCTTTCTGGGTCACTTTGTGAGATCTCTGCTTTGTAGTTAAAGCTCATTTTTATTGTGGTGATGACTTAAAATTCTTGAAACTCTTATCTAGCCCCAAAGTTCATTTTTACTAATACCTTCTGTTGTATGATGGAAGCAGCATAGCTTTTGAATGCAGGGGGAAAAGGGTTTGCATCTGCTGTTGTAGTTTTATGCCCATCTCTGAACCTAAAGAGAAAGCAATTCCTGAACAAAAGTTATAAAACTAAGCCAAAATGGATAGAAGTTAACTTGGTAAAATTTAGAGGTCAGTGGAATACAAAGAAGGATATTTTGTTTTTCTTTTTGGTTTCATTTCCCTTCACTGCTTTGGCTTTCACCTTCATTCTAGATAAAACACACTCCAATGCCTGTGATAGGAATAAATGACAGACTGTTCCAGACCATGTGGAAATACAGATCTGATCCAGAGCAGAGCAGTGGCCAATTTTAAATGATACTCAGATAAAATACTTCGGAGCAGCAGTTCTGAAACATCTGTTCTACAGAGCTTTCATAGATGATTTATGGAACCATGTAAAATAGTATTTCCAGTAAAACGTTCGATTCAAGTTGTAATCTCAGTTCTTCTGGGCTGAATATTCTTCAGTTATGCAGTAAGCAGTTTGGGACTTCCTGCTTCTTAGTTGAGGAATTGCCTGAATTTAATATCCAAATACAAGCCAAGCTGTATACTCCTACCTGACCTGTCATGCTGAGCAAACTCAAGAGGAGAGAAGTGAGAAGGTTCATGGTAGCCGTGGAGATGCTCAAGTTTTGCTAATGGGTGTTGGCAGAGATTATTCGACTGTTTGCTGATTCTGTGAGAGAGAAATGCATGGAACTATTTTGAACAGTATTGTGTGGTAGGGAAGTTATCACATTCTTTAGTTGTATTAAAGATAGCTGTGAGGTGAGTGAGTTTAGGCAGGTGGTGAGAGCTTGCCAAAAGCATGTGATTCAGAGTTGTGAAGATAACTCTAATGCTGTCAATGGGAGTGTAAGAAGATAAGTAAACTGCTTGTAAATACAGGGTAGGAACAGATTTCAGCTCACTTTTCTTTGATATGAAGACTCTACTAACCCAGGATGATATTTGGAATATAGAAATTTTCTATTAATGTGCTAACACACAAAGTGATGAAGAGAACCCCTTGGCAGTAAACGTGTACTGAGAACAGTCTGCTTGCAGATCACAATGTGGGATCTGGCCAGTGGGAAGCTGCTGCGATCAATAACAGATGCCCACCCACCAGGAACAGCCATTTTGCATATCAAGGTAACAAACACTATATGTAGTATTTGTATACTACTCTTTCTTTTTTTCTTTAAAACACACTTGTGGTCAGCCAGATGTGTTGACTTTCCTTGTGTAGTACTTTTAGAGGTACAGATGAGAACAGCTGCCTAGGAGCTGTATGGTGATAGTATCCAGAGGTGAGAAAAATGAGCAGAAATTCTATTTAAGAAAGCAACTGAGTATTTTGAGAGCTGAAATAATAGTATCAACTATGAGTTGTGATATAATAAATAACAGTTGTCTGTTATAACTCTCCTCTCTGATGCCAAAATCTATGAGGAGTTAGTTGCTGGAATAAATTTCTTTCAAACTTGCAGTGGTTTGAACTTGATGCGTGATTTGCCAACTTTGACCTTAAGAGTCTGAAGTGTAGAAAGTAGCTTCTGTCAGCAGTTTTTCAAATAACTTGTTGAGAATGTTTGAGTTGAAACATAGCGTTGTCATCACACACACAAACTCACATCTGATTTTGTGCATGACTGTTTTATGAGGACTTTTCCTACCGGAGCATAAGGCTCCTTAGCCACTTGGTCAGAGCAGTGATGTTGGTGCATCACTCAAACTCTTCTTTCTCTTCTCCTTTCCTGGACCTTACTAAGACATCCCAGACCCATACAGTGTCACACAGGGAACTACAGTAGTGGGTCTGGTGGGACACATTGCTCAAGGTCAGGTTTTCAAGTACTGATTGGTCTGGTGGCTAACCAAGAATGTTTTGTGGGTGTGAAGGTGCCCCCTATTCATCTTTGCCCTGTGCGTAAAGATGAATATTCCCCTGTGCCAGGTCCTCTGCTCCTAGTGGCCCCCTTCTCTACCTCATGACCTGATGGCAGTACCAGTGTTGAAGAGTACTTAGACACTGCTGTACAGCCCAGATGCTTGTGCTGCTAGATGCTGGGTTGCGAAGTCCTCCAGAAGGGTGCTTCAGCTGTCGCTGTGACCCTTTCTTATCGGGATTTTTGGTATCATTAGTAGTTCTGGGTGTTTCTGATTTTGGTCTGTTTGTGACCACAGCCTGTTCACCAGCCCTGGCACCAAGTCTCATGGTCTTGAGGCTGTGAGCTGCTCTAGTGGTAGCACAGGTTCTGACCTGCAAGAAAAAGCAGTGGGACTTTGATAACAAAATCTAGCCATAGGGCTTGCTGGAGGGATGGAGATGAAACGCAAAACCTTGCTTTTCTTACATATCATAAAAAAAGACAGTAATTGTATGTTAGAGATGTCTTTCTGGTAGGTACAATGCTTGTACTTTTGTGTGCTGTTAATGATGCCATAACATGCATTTTTCTATCTTTTTTTTTTTTTTGTAGTTTATTTTTTAATGCCACTGTTAATCCAATTATCTGCTCAGTTTACAGATGACCCGACACTTGCAATTTGCAATGACAGCGGAGGCTCTGTATTTGAACTGTCATTTAAGTAAGACAATAACTCTTAAGTACTCATGGAAAGTACAAGAAGCTAATACTGGGTCATAGTTTCTAAGCAAAAAACCCCATTGGAACCTGTAAAGTTACTGTCTGAACATTGAAGGTGTAATTTAGGGCTGCAGTTTAATTTCACAGCTGAAGCAAGATGCTGTCTGGCAGTGTATTAGTCGAAGAACAACCTAAGTTATTAAGGGGATCAATGTGTTGTCCAGAATCTTGGCATTCCTTGTGGGCTCTTGGTAGTTATCATGAAAGTGCTGCCTCATGGTTTTCCTTGTTTCATTAGAGAGAACTGCCCAGCAGTAACTGTTCATTTTCTTCTTGGCCTCTTCAAGAGCGGGAGGGACAAGGAGGGAGGATGGGTCCTGACAGTCTATGGGGTCTGATCATGTCCAGGAATTGCCAAAAACTTTACTGTTAAATAAAATCTTAAGGAATTCTTGTCTGTATCTGAGCAGCTGTATGGGACTGCTTCCAGTGACACTCTAAAGACATCCCTGGAGCTGTGAAAAGGGCTTTTTAAAACAAATGTTTATGAAGGATCGGGCTTGAGATTTCATGAGATTGTTGGGCTGATCTCTTCTTGATAGTTGGTCACCAGGCTCATTTCTTTGCAGGAGGGTTATGGGAGTGAGAACATGTGAATCTCGATGTCTCTTCAGTGGCTCAAAGGGGGAAGTTTGCTGTATTGAACCATTACATGCAAAAGTTGATCTGAGAGACCATCCTATCACGCAGTATTCACTGCTGGCCATGGCCTCCCTAACAAAGGTGACTTGCTGCTTGCAGAGGCATTTATGTGAGAAATCACAAAGGAGAAGCTTTTTGTTATATACTCAAACATTTCATTTTGTTTTTTTGTTTTTCTTGAAGATACTGGTTATTGGCCTGAAGCCATCTCTGAAAGTGTGGATGACTTTTCCGTATGGTCGTGTGAGTAATGAAGCCAAATGCTTGCTTTTTGGATTATGGCTACAAACAGTTCCTGGAGCAAAGGGCGTGAGATTAGGACCAGGTGTTTGGTATCACTACTTTATTAGCACGCAGTAAACTCTGCATTGTGGAATTACAGTGTTAATCTGTTGGTCTGATGTGTTCAGACTGTGGGCAGAGAGCTGCTTTCAGTTGTACCTATGTGAAAATGCTGAATTTCTCCAATAAGCAGGAAATGAGGAAAGTGGGAGCCCCTCAGCTTCTTGTCTTCCCTGATGTGACCTGGGTGGACCCACAGATGGGATGTCGACCTGATTATGTCTACAGTCACCTTAATCTGGGGCCATTGTTTTACATAAGAACCGTGCAATAGAACCCTTAATTGCAGGGACAGAAACAAAGTGGAATTAGAGCACTAAACAGTCTGCTAAATTCCTGTCACTAGTCGCTGGTATAATTCTTCTTGGAAAAGCAGCTAGGGGAAGATGTGGGATATGTTAGATTGGGATAATGGAGACAAGGCTGCTAGCAAGCTGCAGCTTGTAGTCCATCAATCCATGTGAGACTGGATCTACATTAAGCAGCTTGGACACAGGTTTTGTTCTGACTGGTCGTCCACTTTGCTGAGAGGCACATGTTGCCCCTCAACAGTGTGGGTTGGACCAAAGAGCACAAGCTATTGCTCTGCTCCCAGCAGATCAAGAAATTGCTTTACAGCCTGTGTGTGTACATGGCGAAGTCAGTGAGTAGCAGCTGATGAACAGCATGTGTGCTGGAACTGAGGTTCTGCCTTGTGTACCTTAAATACTGGCTGTGCTTTTTTGTCTAACAGATGGACCCTTCTAGTGTCCCTCTTCTGGCATGGCACTTTGTGGCTGTACAGAACTCTGTGAACCCCATGCTTGCATTTTGTCGAGGAGATGTTGTTCATTTTCTTCTGGTAAGCCTGGATGTTTTATGCTGCTTTTCAGATAGTCACATCTTATGCACGTGTTCAGTTGACTGAGCCTCTGTCTCAGTGAAGGTGTGGTATCTGTGAATGCTAGGCATATCTGCAGGTTGCATTCAGCTCGGGAAAACAAACTGGTTGGTCATTGCTCTTCAGCAAGCAGTGGTGCCCTTTCCTAAGAATCTGGAGAGGTGAGCTTTATGTGTTCCAGAAGCATTCATTTGGAGCTGTTTATGACATGGAGCTGTTGTAGTGCAAATAAATGATTTAAAATTGCTCCAGGAGAGGGCACTTGTTTCTCCTGCCCCCCTGGCCAGAGCCAGTCCCCTACTCTTTGCTCACTCGTATGAGTGCTTTTGAAAGTGAGACATTTGAGAAGCCTGTGTGCTGCTGCTGCACGCTCAGTGTGCTTGTCTGAGGGGAGCACCAGACTCCTGGAGTTGGTGGGGTGTCCTCTGGGAATAGAGAGGTTGACCAGAGGAAAATCTTTGAGTTTGAGTTAGCCTTGTCTGATTTCTCTTTTAGGTAAAGAGAGATGACACTGGTGCAATACATGTCACTAAGCAGAGACAGCTTCATCTACACTATGACCTCATCAACTTTACTGTAAGTCTTAATACTATAGGATGGTTAATTTTTTTTTTTTTTCACTACTTCCCTTGTGAATGTATCTCAGTAGCCCTTAGTTCTATACTATTGTTTTTACAAATTTAGCATAAGAACTGGCTGTATTTATCTAGAGCTCACTAATTGAAAACATCCTTAAACTTGGGACTCAGTGAAAAACCAGCCCAAGTGAAATAACAAGTAGTAGCTAAAGAGTAAAAAATTAGTATAATGCAGGCAACAATACTCCCCTTTCTTGGGAAGGGGGGGTGCTAGCCTTGCTGAAATATTTTCAAGAGCTAGAGAATCTGTTGAGAAAGATTTTTATTCTATATTCTTATGAAAGAAAGCAAACTTTTCTAATTGATTCAGTAAAATTCTAGTGTTACCACATACAAGTGTTTGCTAAAGCACTATAGTTGTTTGATGCTTTAAAAAAAAAAAAAAATTGCTCAACTCTAAAACACATTTACAGAATACAGAGAATAAAACAGGAAAGGCCAAAATACCAAGACGGATATCCACATCAGCTGGAATTTGAAGTTTGCTAACAAACATGCTAGGCTGTTTTAAAAAAATAATAATGGTAAAAGCAGGGGAAAAAAAGCATTTTTTGAACATAAAAGTAGAAGCCACAGAATATGGATGACAGGCGTTGAGTTAAAGTTAGATGTACTATTTATCTTTCTGATGCCTCTTGATGCCATGTTTAACTCCTAAGGGATTTGTGGACATGTGTTGTAGTAGTCATGGTCTTGAGACCTTTGGATAGAAAGTGTGCTAGAGCATAAATAGTGCACAAAGAGGATGAGAGCTCTGGTGGACTTCCATTTGTCTACAGGGGTTTTTTGTGAAGAACGTTCCTTTCTCTCAGTGTTAAAGCTGATACTCCAGAAGGAGCCTCCCTGTCTTTGCCTTTGGAGTTATGCATGGGTGCTTTTATAAAGAAACCACTGCTAGCCATCCTAGAACTTCCAGTATTGATACTTAAGAATATACTCAAAGCCTTCTTAGTTGGCCTCTAATTGTGTATGCATCAATTAAATCTTCAATTTGTTGCTTTTTCAGTGGATAAACTCACGGACAGCAGTGCTTCTGGACAGTGTGGAGAAGCTGCATGTTATAGATCGTCAGACACAGGAAGAGCTGGAGACCATAGAGATCTCGGAAGTTCAGCTAGTCTACAACAGCAGCCACTTCAAATCTCTGGCTACAGGAGGCAACGTCAGCGAAGCTCTGGTAGACACAAATGACCTGCTTGTGTTAGCTAACTGTTTTAGATATGCCCTAAGTGGGGGAGTCTGGAGCTTTGGAAAAAATGCTTTTTGAAGCATCTTAAAAATCATACATGGTGTTGATGTGGCCAGCTAATAGTTTCCTTTTGTGCATTGCTGTTTTGGGGAACTGCTTTTAAGTCACCAAGCTTTGCAATTCTCTGTACAGGAAGAAACCTGATGTGCTTTATTATTCAAGAGATTCCTATAGACTTTTTTACTTTGGGCAATTGTATGACACACATACTCTGCCATAGCAGTACCTGTGCAGTACACGTGTTCCCTGCCCTTCTCTCACAGATTGTCATGCAGTGGTAGATAGCATGAAGCACCTATGCTTGTAGGTACTACACTTCTTTTTTTGTTTGAAGTAAAAAACCAAACACATCCACACTAGTGGAAGAGCAGCACTGCAAATGTGTTTCCTACTTTCTCCTCTTTTGTTTATTTCTCTTTCTTTTATTTTGACTTTCATGCTTGTTTATTTTTTTTTTAACTGTGACCCATATGGTGTCTAAACAAGTTTTATTTCCTGAAGTAGATGTTGATTTCAGTGCCTCCTGATAGCTCCTGTAACACACCTGTGCCTTCTGCAGCAGGCTCACTTTAATGTGATATTACCATAGCATTGTGGAGGTTTTTTTAAAACTGTGGTTGTGGGACAAGTTACTGCTTTCAGTAGAAAATTAGTTTCTCTGTTTTGGAAACAGTTTGCAAAAATGTGTAGGAAAGAACCTTCCATCCTTGCATCGAAGCCTCCCAGTGCTGCACCAGAAATGCCTCAGCTGGACGATATGGTTCCTGTTCAGTTCTGCTAAAGCCCTGTGAGACTTGTGGGCCCAAACAGCTAGTGGAAGGCTCATGTTGGTCTGTCGTTTGGATCCACAATTCTAAGCCAAGCATATGGTCAGGACTGAGCTCCAGAAGCCAAAGGAGAAGTGCCTTCCATACAGGATAGCAGGGTTTCATAAAAAAGACCTCTCTGTCCTGGTTCCCTTTGAGCACAAAGGATGGAGTGCTTCTTTCAGTCTCACTGGCCAGATCTATGAAGAGTCTTTGCAGCCTTTAGGTCTACACAGCTGCTGTTTATCTGGCTTTCATTGCTTTATCTGCTTCACACTGCTAGCATTGCTGTCATTCCTTCTGCTGCAGATGCATAGTGAGGAAGGAGTGAGAAGGTGGAGTCTAGTCTAAGTTAGCTTTTTGTACTGCCTGCGACATGATCTGGAATTGCCAGGCACAACCTCACAGAACATAGATAGAGATTGGCACTAAGGTGGGATATGAGCTCTCCTTGCTAGGAAATGTCATTATTCAGAGCCTTTCACTCAATTCCAGAAACTCTGCACTGTCCTGTGAGGACTTCTGGTGACTACTGTTGAAGCCAGAGACATGTGGCTTGGCAAACTGGTGTGCCCAAAGAAGTGCTGCCTGTTAATCCTATTGTGAGTCTAGAAAAGACCCCTGCTTAATTCATAGACTGAAATCGCAGATGAGATCTTGAGTCTATAATGCCATTTGGAAACAGAGGACACAAAACAGGCAGTCTCTTTCCTTGCGCTTCAGTAGGAATTACAAGGCAACCTATTCTAGAGCAATTGAGTCAAGGACAACTTATGAGAAGTTTGGGGGTTTTTTCATGGCTCAGAGGATCAGAAATAGACCTTTTCCTGTGTTAATTCTGCAGACACTCTGAAAGGTAGATCTTAGATGAGGCTGCTGCTCCCATAAGGGATATTCTGGTTTCAGAGGTGCCCGGGTTTGTGGACGGAGACTGTAAGGCCCCATTTTTCTACTGCAGCATCTGAAGAAAGGTACAGTGAATATCTTCTGCTTCAGCCTTAGGTTCTGTGCTGAGCAGGTTGAAGTGCTATTATGGCAGTCCCTGGAATGGGCACACTTTTCAGCAGTGGCAAGAGATTCAGGAGGCTTTCATACCTGGCCAGACTGAGAAAAGTACAGGACAAACAGCTCTGCCCTGTGTCACTCTGAAGCAGAGTGGGAAGCAAGCACTGCCAGGGCACTGTGGTAAAATCTCTGGTTTTGATGTGATCCTCCATTTCTCACATTGTAAATGTGCCTATACACAGCTTTTTAACACCAGCTACTGGCATTCAAACTTCTCTTGTAGCAACTCTCACTTGAACAATATTCTTTCCATCTGCTTCTCCTACACATTTACTCTAGAGGAAGATTTGTGAAGAAGTGGAAGGCAAGGAAAGAGTCGCCATAATATTTTTTTTTTTTTTTGCATCTGAGAGTAGACACAGAGCCCTGTTTGTGGCTCCTTATGATTCCTTCATGTTTTGTCTGTGATCAGAGCTCAGTAGCACTTTAAGCTGCATTCACAAGCAGAAGAGTGTGGCAGCAGAGCATTTTTACTTACTACTGCCCAGCAATCTGTGTTGTTCTCTCCTAGTCCTCGTTTTGATTCATGAATTACAAAGTGTCTCTAAAGTTTTAAGTGTATATATTTTTCTTGGGAAACTTTATAAAAACAAAAAGCAGTTCGACTTGCATTTCTTTTTTTCCCCTGTAGGCATTGGTTGGAGAGAAAGCTTGTTATCAATCCATCAGCAGCTGTGGTGGTCAGATCTTTTACCTTGGAACTAAGGTAAATGTGGGGAGTTTTTAATAAAAATAAAGGACATCCACTCTTGATGGTAGCTTGACTTCTGGAGAAGAGCAATTTTTTATTCTGTGGAGATATGAATCAAAGATGGGTTCATTGTGCACTTATGTCGTGGACTAAAGAAACGTGCAATAATTTGGTTTTAGCCAAGGTACAGGCTAAGAAGGGTATTGTTATAGTTACACATTAACTATGACAATAGTTGATGCTGCTTTAGGGTAGACTTACTATTACTTTACTGACATCTCCTCTGTGCTAAACTGCAAGTTCTCTGTCCTAATTCTGCTAGTGAATGAACAGAATAAGACAGTGGGGAAAACTAGACTCTATTGCATGAAATGATAATAGGAATATCCAATTAGCTTTTCCTATCCTGCTGTGCAGGCTGTCTGTGAAAAGGCAAAGAGAGGTGGCCTATAGGATGGCATAGGGAAGTAGGGGAAGAGGTGAGGGATGGTATCTTGGAGTAGATGGCTTGTGAGGCCATGTAAAGGAAGTTTGCTGTTAAATATAAACATCCAATGTATTCCTGCCTTGCCAAGCTTGAGGATTGTTTTACTTAGCTTCATCTGTACCTGCATGCTCTGGTGGGTCTGTGGGATAGCACAGGCTGCATGAGCAACTGTAAGTAAATAAATAATCTTTTTTTTTTCTTTTTTAGTCTGTTCATGTCATGACATTGAGGAGCTGGAGAGAGGTAGGTTGAGAGGAAAACTGTACAGCTTAGTACGTTCAAATTGCTTAAATGTAGCTTGAGTGGAGGAAGGGAGCATTTGTGAAGCATGTTCTGAGCACCGTGTTGAGGATCCCTGATGGCTATGCAGAGCCAGCACCACAGGTACACTGCTTGGAGACCTTGTTCTCCCAAGCAAGACATAATGCCTTGCCATGCTTCAGCTTCTGTTAACGAGTCAGGGTTAGAGCAGTGTATGACTTCAGAGGGCTGTGTAAGTGTAAGCCTTCTATCTGCCAGACAAGCATGCAGGAGTGGAAAGAAATCTGGTTCACTGTATTTTTATCTCCAGCTACTGCACGAACTACATCATGAAAGCCATCAAAGACTACCTAGAAAGTTAATTGGATTTTAGGTCCTTTTTTCTGTTGGTAGAAGATTTTTTTGAACCTCATTTCTCTGGCAGCTGAAACCCTATCAAGTTCCACACTAAAGTTCTTAGTGATCTATTTCTGTCTATTTGTTCCTGTGTTGTTCTTTTCACTTGAGTTCAACAGCAGTTTTTCCTTTCTGGATCATCACTTTGCAGTATGTTTATTCAGCATATGCACATTCTCTCTCAGACATTGTTTTGCAAGGTTCTTTAGTAGTGAGTGAGTTCGTGTCGCAGTGCAAAATGCTGGTCTGAGACTCAGAAGATTCTCTTTGCTCAGACAGTACTTTAACATTTTGACCTAGCATACCAAAACCAGTGGTGCTCAGCCTTGTGGGTTAATGATTTCTGAAGTAGAAAATACTTGTTACCTACTTCAATCCTTATTGACTGTGATCTCAGAAGAAAATAAAAGGTAGGATGAGTATATCTGTATGCTGAAAACGTGGCAGAGTTTGTTGTGCTCTAAGTTATGAGGCAAGGATAGGGAATGGAAAATTTTGATTGTGATTGAAGATGCTTGCTGATGCTGTGGGTCTCCGTTCATCAAGCATCTGACCTAAAATGTAGCCCCCTGGGCCTGACACTTGTTAGTCGTTTTTAAGCACAAAATGCACATATGAGAGAATCTTTTTGAGATACTGTTCTTTACTGCAATGTGCTGAATACTTTTGATATTTCCTGTCCCCTTGCTGTCAGGAATCATGACCCACTACTGAGAAATGCTGATCTTAAACGTGAGGGGATCATCTTTTCTGTATATTAAGGTCCAATATTACTTGTGCTTTTAGAGAGTTGACCACCTTCTGAAACAAGAGCGTCTCACTGATGCCCTGGCTCTAGCTTGGTCTTTTTATGAGGGTAAAGCAAAGGCTGTAGTAGGTAAGTCTTGGTAGTTTGTAGTTGTTTTTTGTTTGGGTTTTTTTTTTTTTTTTTTTTCTAAATTGAAACCGCTAGGGAAGGTTTTACACCTGTGCATGTACTGAAATCACTGTTTCGGGGTAAAAAAAGAAAGGAAGAGAATTGAATTGAAGAAGAGAAAGTAGTCTGTTGCTTTGGCAGAAACAACACCCTTGATATGGATTGATTTGGCTTTTTTAGAATCATAGTTCCTTTAGCAGCCTGCTGTTTTCAAATGAAAATAAGACTCGGTCTGTGTTGTGACTCCTGTCTGTTGTCACTTGGCCACAAAGGAGATGGTCTTGAATAACTAACCTGCTAAAATATTCCTGAAGGTCACCCATGACCTGTAGGTAATCTTCACTGTGATGTTCTGTCAGCTCAGCCAAGCAGGTACTTGCATTCGAGTCTCCTCTGACTATACAACTGACTGAAATAACTGCTGGGTTTTGGCACCATGTTTCTTATAAAGGAGGATGCTTTGTGAGCACTTAGCTTGTTATGATAAACATGTTAGTTATGCCAGAAACTGCTGCTTGGACTAGACACACTGAATTTTCAGCAACTAACTTCGGATGGTTTTGACAGATGAGACTCAAATTCTCAGGATAAGATCCTCCTGCTATGAAATTGCTAGTATATGAACATGTGTCTCGTTTTAATGCATGGATATTAAACAGATTGTTTTTCAGTGTTCAAAAGAATTACTGTCCTTTTTAGTTGACATTTAAGAATTGTTTGCTCTTGTAGTGCACTTCTTGTGCATCAGAGCATCCTCCAACAATTAGCATTGTGTACAGCCTTTGACAGCCCTCCATTAATTGTTCTCTCAATATTAAAAAAGCACTCAGATCTGTTTTTGCCGTTCCTGTGCTGGAACAGTCTTTACATTGGGAGAGCAAACTCTTCAGAAAAGGAGTGGGCTAAAAATAGATCACAAAATTCTATGTGTAGATATCCTGACCTCTGCACCTCAAGAGTAGTGGTGTTTGTGTCTGAACTGGGGGTTTATATTTCCACTGGTAGCTTAGATGAGAAAAGCTTCTTTTTCCCCTCCTCATTCTTTCCAGGCTTGTCTGGGGACACAAGCAAGCGGAAAGCAGTCATTGCAGACAGAGTGAGTCATTGATCTCTTCCTAACTGGATTTGCTTGTATGCTGATGTGATATAACTGTAGTCCTGGAAGGAACGGCTAATGTCCTCCAGAAGTTAATCCAACTAACTCTAGAACATATACATGTCCCTGTCTTACGAAGATTGTGAGCAGGATTTTAGAAGAGACTTGGAAGTACCTTTTGGATAAAGGTGGAGATAAAACCTGCAGCATTAGCAAAGCAAAATGTGACCTTATCATCCAGGCCTTGAGATCTCTGGTCTCCTCACAGTGGAGAGAAACCTTTTCTGTAGGTAACAGCAGAGTTTCCTGACCTTTGATTAGCAAGTGTCTGTCAGTACATAACTTGCTGAGTCTCAGAATGGAAACTTTAGTCCATATATACATGGGCATGGAATAAACTCTTCAGCTGATCCCGTTCAGTTGTTGAAGGGACCTGTTTTTGCAAAGGGTGTGTTTAAAATACATAATTATTGCAATAATTATTCACCTGCATGTTTTATTTGCAGGTGAATAAGTTTTGTTATTTAAGGTAGTATAATTTAAGCTTTGGGTGAAAACATGTCCCACATGAGCCTTGTGCTCCAGGATGTGTTCATCTGCCTGAAAATCGGCTGGCAGACTGGCTGCCCAGTTTCTCAGTCAGCTGAAGTTAGTGTAGGCCTTCAGTATCCCACTGGGCCGCTTCTGTGCCATGTCATGTCATTGCCTCTTGGCAGCCTTTTCCCTCTCCTCCTTCCTGCCCACAGTAGTTCATACCCAAAATGGGACAACAGAGTTTACAGTGCTGCCAACCCCCGAATCAGTCTACTAAATGTGCTACCAAGTAGGGCCTCTAGTGTACGATGTAAGCAAATTTTCTTGTTTATCGTAATTCAGATGGTTGAAATCCTTCTCCATTATGCTGATCGGACTTTGAAGAAATGTCCTGACCAAGGAAAAATCCAGGTTATGGAGCAACATTTTCAGGTATGGTGCTCCAGAGGACTCTTTTGTATAGATTTTTTTTTTTTTTTTTTTTTAAATCAGACTTTGCTTTGCTGCAAAAATTACTTGTCTAGTTCTGAAAAATACTGCTGTGGTTCACCTGAACTCACCTCAGTTGTGTTCACTAATGAAATCAGGATTCAGTTACGGCTAGGCGGCAGAGCAGAACCTGTATGCTGCCCTCTGTCCTCTGTAGATGTGTGACTAGAGTTTTTCTCCATATGAACCAGCATATGGAAAAACCCGTCACTGTGCCAGCTACCAGCTGACTTGAATATCTTATTGATTCTGCTCTGTATTGGCCAGCCTTCATTTTGTGCTCTGCAGGATGTGCTATTTGGCAGGATTGTTGCCACTCCTTACAGCTTTTTTATGTTTCTTCCGCAGGACGTGGTGCCTGTCATAGTTGATTACTGTCTCTTACTCCAGCGCACGTAAGTCTGAGTTTGCAAGCCTGTCTCCCAAGGCATACCACCAACCCATGTAGTCCTGAGTGCTGTCTCCTGTCATATCACATGGTTTAGAAGAGTCATATCACATCATCGTCATATCATATATCACATTTGGTTTAGAGGAATGCTTAAAAACTGATACTACCGAGTACTCAGTACTCAAAGAAAAGTGTGTCTTAAATTTTCATTGATGTGTTGAGGAAGAAAAGTTTGCTTCAAACTGTTTCCCCCAAACCATCCCCTTAAGTAAGAAGCTACCTTGATAGTTTTTTTCCTGTTGTCCTCATTTCCCCCCTCTAATAGCAGTTTTGTGCTGCAACATCCATAGACAATTTATTCTGTGTAGCTGCTCCAATATAGGAGCTGAACAGGGCATTCAGCTGATGAGCTTGAGAAATACAGCAAAATTGGAGTTTAATTTGGAGATAAGTAAGGAGATTTTAATAAGATTATTTGATAACTAAACACTTCTTTCCTCCTAGGGATCTGTTGTTTAACCAGATATATGATAAGATGAGTGAGAATTCTGTAGCTAAAGGCATCTTTCTAGAGTGCTTGGAGCCATATATCTTAAGTGATAAGCTGATGGGAATCACAGCTCAGGTGATGAAAGACTTGCTGCTTCACTTCCAAGACAAGAACAGGTTGGAAAATTTGGAATCCTGTATTGTGCATATGGATATCACCAGCTTAGACATACAGCAGGTGAGCTGTTGTACTGTATTGATTTCCTCTGAATAAATGACAACATCCCCTAGTTGCTGATGCAAACTTCTTGTGCTTTTCAGCACAGCATAGCATGTGGAAAACAAGGTGTCACCTTTCAACAGACAAGACTTGCATAGTCCAAACCATTTATGCCTTTTGGTCACTAATTTGTAACAGAACTTAGCTCTGTGGTCCTGGGATCAAATTCAATGAGTGTGGGAATTATTTAGCGTGCTTGTGTCCATTCTGTAACTTGCATGCTCCTATAAGCATGTTTTGTTCCCCCAGTTTGTGCCCTGGCATAGGTTAGTGCATCAGCAGCTGAATGTGTTGGAAACTCATAGTCCGTGAGGATCTCTGATATTCACAATCAATCTTGCTTGTTTTGAATACCTTACCTAATGTCAAAGGCTGCAGGGGAACAAAAAACTGGAGTTGTGTTTGGTGCCTGCAAGCCTGCTCTGCTCAGGTGCTTGCTCTTGCATGACAAAGTTAGTGGAGCAAGGAGGTGTTCCTGCTGGGTAGTCCTGTTTTCCTTGGACAGATTTTATTCCCACAGCATCGCTTTCCATCCCAAGGAGGGAACAGCTTGGGAACTTGACAAAATGATTCACTAACCCAACCAAAAGGCAAAATAGTGCAATCAGGGGCTTTGAAGAACTGATTTTTTTATTCCTTAACCTCATGCAGGCTATGAACATTAGAATCCAGACAGTCAGATTCCATGTTTGCTGCATGAGCAATAAGCTGGATACTCCCTCTGGGATTTGGGGTCCTTGCAGAGACTAGTTCTGCAAGTGGAAATTCTCATTCTGCTTTAAATCTTGCTGTCAGATGGTGCAAATGCAAGGACAGAGATTGTATTTGAGAGACTGGGGAATGAGAAAACTGTGAGCTAAGAGCAGCTGTATTTTTACATTGTGCTCTTCTGCCTTGCAGGTTGTTCTTCTGTGCTGGGATAACCATCTCTATGATGCCATGATCTATGTCTACAACAGTGGAATGAATGACTTCATTAGTCCCATGGAGGTAGGAGGGATACTTGGTGCAGTCGGTTATTTGTGTGTTCAGCACAGTCTTTCTGAGAAACAGCATTTCAAACCCGATGCGTTCTCTTCTCATTCAGTGGGTATACTTCCTTTTAATTTCAAGGGAGAAATCATGTGTGATATGTGCAGTTTATTTGACTAGATGCAGTAGAGGAGAAAAGTAATTTGTAATTACTGTGCTTTAGAACACAAACTTCCCTGCTGAGGTAGCAATGCTATGCGAAGTTAGAGCAGGAAATTCAGTTGTATTATAAAATAAATATAAAACAAAAGTGGCAGAAGAGAATAACATGATGACTTGAGGTTGCATTGCAAAACTGTCTGCTAACAGCTTTGTTGCTGGTGGTGAGCCTGACCTGTGTGGCGTGACGTGCTGAGAAAGCATCGACTTTCTGCACCAGGAGATTAATGGGGATGCAGGCGTGAGAGGTTCTGTGAACACCTTATGCTTTTTTTCTTTCATACTATTCTTCCTCTACTGACACAAGAGTATATTAATATGTATTAAAGAGTAAAGGGTGAACTTACCTGTGTACAGAATTCAGAAAAAAGGCCAGAAACAGTCCTTGCATTGAGGCAGGCCTTGTTCTCAGCAGTGGGGTGTGATCTGTTAACAGTAAACACAGGACTTGGTGTAATGCTGTAACTGAGGACCTGCTGCTGCTGGTAATCCCCAGGATGTGACTGGTACACCGATTGCTCTTGAAGCCTATAGCTGTAACGTCAAGACGTTTCGCTATGGAAGCACTGCTGGTATTTTCTCAGTAGTGCTGAAATAGAGATCTGGGTTCATTCGAGTGTGAAAACCTTAAACTGCCCATTTTTCATCAGTTATAATCTCATTTGGTTTTTCTCAGGAAGGAGACTCTTTAGATGTTCATGATTTTAAAAAGGACTTCTGGAAACCTAGCACTAGATGAGTCCTCATTCTACCTACCCAAACTAAAGGTTCCCTGGTGCCCCTGCTAGGTAGACTGAAGGTTTGCATAATCTGTGGTGGCAGAACATTCAGGAACAGGAAGCAGAGATGGTCAGTTATGCTCTAACTGTTACTTCTGGAACTACTGGACATTGCTTTTTTTAGTGTGGCCTGTGTTTAGGGCTTGATCTGATTGAATGCAGGCTGTTTTTTCATATGTCTTAACATTGGCTGGGAAAAGCATCCTTTGCCACAACTTGGTGTCCTCTGTGCCTTTTAATTGTAAGACATGGTGAGAAAGCAGAGATTCTGTGGGAAAGTTACCCCATCAATCTCTTCTTTAAAACCACACAGATTCTTTGCTTTTGAGCTTTTCCAGCTGCTTGAACACTGCCTTCTTTCTTGTCACAGAAGCTGTTCAAAGTCATTGCTCCTCCACTGAATGCTGGGAAGTCTCTCACAGGTACTGAATTCTTTCCGTTTGAGGGTTTCTAGTTTTGATATTTGATGTTTTGAATATCTCTAGTAACTTCCAACAGGGGGATGCAAAAGGAAATATCCAATATAAGGGTCTTGGAGAACAGAAAAGTGCTCTTGTACTATTTATTGTTTGTAAGCTGCCCTACTTACTGTATATGCACATCAGATGAGATGTTTTGTTAGCAACTAGAAAAAAGAATTGCATCTCTGTATGTTGTCTAGTGAAAGGTGACAAATAATTTTTGTTTTGTAGATGAGCAGGTGGTAATGGGCAACAAGCTGCTTGTATATATAAGGTAAGGTCCTTTAGAACGTGTGTGGTGTTGCCTAGTGGTGGCACCAGATGTTTACCTTACTATAGCGGCATAATCTTATAGTGTGTTTCAAGATCTGAGAGACTGTGTACAATAGCAACGGCTGCTTGGTACAGCTGACTTATTTACAATGACTTCTTGTTACACATCGTGTGAGTAGATAGGTAGGATAGAGTTGGAAACCTAGAGCTCAAGTTATTGCTGATATGCCAAGACTATGTCTTTATCTTTAGAATGTGGTTAGAGTTCTTTCTTTGTCCTGTGTGTGACACAGTGCTCCTTGGGCAAGGACTCTGTAGCCTGAAAAGCTGTGTTTTAGCCCTTTCTGTCGTGCCTTTTGGGATAGCTGTGCTCAGTTGCTGCTCACTGCATTGCCTGTCATTTCCAGGGAGTCATTCTGAGATTGCACAGTAGTGATTAATTAGCAAATTCCTTTTTTGGGACTCTCTTCAAGATCCAGCTCTGAAGAGAAGGACTTGAGGGTGGTGGTGGACGAGAAGCTCAACATGAGCCGGCAATGTGTGCTTGCAGCCCAGAAGGCCAATAACCGTATCCTGGGCTGCATTAAAAGGAGCATGGGCAGCAGGTCAAGGAAGGTGATTCTCCCCCTCTGCTCTGCTCTCGTAAGGCCCCGCCTGGAGTGCTGTGTCCAGTTCTGGAGCCCCCAACACAAGAAGGACATGGACCTGTTGGAATGAGTCCAGGGGAGGCCACGAGGATGATCCAAAGACTGGAGCACCTCTCCTACAAGGACAGGCTGAGAGAGCCTGGAAAAGGGAAGGCTCTGGGGAGATCTTACAGTGGCCTTCCAGAACCTGAAAAGGGCCTACAAGAAAGCTGGGGAAGGACTTGTGACAAGGGCAAGAGTGACAGAACAAGGAGTGCTGGCTTGAAACTGGAAAAGGGGAGGTTTAGATTAGATATTAGGAAGAAATTCTTCACTGTGAGGGTGGTGAGACACTGGCCCAGGTTGCCCAGAGAAGCTAATGGCTGCTCCTCCCTGGAAGTGTTCCAGGCCAGGTTGGATGAGGCTTTGAGCAACCTGGTCTAGTGGAAGGTGTCCCTGCTGATGGCAGGGGGGTTGGAACTGGATGAGCTTTAAGGTCCCTTCCAACCCAGACCATTCTATGATCCTGAACATTTGATTCTGCTTTATACCTCCTTCCTAAAACACCAGAGTAAAGTTTTTTGTGAGAAATACTGAATTTCCACTGTTACTTTTCTGCTGTGGAATGGCATACTTTGGAAGCAAATTCATACAGGGCCTTGGCTTATTATATATTAAGTGCTATATATTAAGCAGTGCTATCTGCAGTGCTTGCTTTCATGATTTGCAAAATAAATGTATTTGGCTTGTTTTAGGAGCATCTGGAAAACTAACTCAAAAATAAACTGTTTTCCTCAATCTGTTTAATGTCAGGATGTATTTAAAAATGCCTTTTCCCTCCTTTTCTATAGCTGCTGCTTGGCAGGCCGTGCATATCCATTGGGTGATATTCCTGAAGATCTGGTACCTTTGGTTAAAAACCAGGTGAGCAACCCTTTGGAAAGAAACTTGTCCGTATGAGGTTTTTAGGTCTTATTTCATGGGTTTCTGATAGAAAACTATTACCAATCTGATAGCTGTATCCTTGTGATATGAATATATAGCACTGTAAATACCAAATACATTTTTAAAGAATGAAATCAATCAGTTGTTGCAATCTGAACATTAAAACATAATTATTTTTTTTTCAAATGTAAATTGAGGTGTGGGAACACAGAATTCTTAGGGGCACTAATTCACTAATTTTTGTTTTGGTTTTTTTTTTTTACATGTCATTAAAGTTGGATTGGTCACTGCCAAGTAAATCTCCTTTTCCTATTCGTTATTTCTATCAGAGCCCGCAAGCTGACTATTTTTTTTTCTCTTTAAGCTGTGTCTGAAGCTTGGCCTAAGTAAAAGCTTAACTCCTTTGGAGTCATCTCAGACAATGTCTTAAAAGAGAAGATGCTCCTGTCATCATTTTGTGCTCATAAAACTCTTCCCTGAGTTTCTGTCCAGTTTTATAGCAAACTTTTTTGGAGCCTCTGGTGTTTCACTTTAGTTTCAGGGCTTCAATAAGAGGAAGCGCTTTCTGTTTTGCACTTTCTCTTTGCAGTACAATGGAAGAGTTATTTTTTTGGTTGTGGATCTTTTTTGGTGTGGGGTTTTTTTTTGTTTGTTTGGAGTTTGGGTTTTTGGGGGTTTTGTTTGTTTGTTTTTTCTTGCTAATCCGGAGCTTGTAGCTATATGTATGTGGTAGCTCTGGGTTACTGCAAACCCTTCACTCAAAGGGTGAGCAAACCAGTTTGCTCCCCTTTGCTGGATCAAGCACTGTGCTGTTGCCCTCTCCCATGGTCCTTAACAAGTTGTCCACTGCACACAGTAGAGCTGGCACAGCACAGGACTGGCTCAAGGTCTGAGGGAAAGCTATAGCCCAACCAGCAGCTGTAGCTCTGAGGAGAGACCATCAACCTCTCCTTTTTATGGCCTCTGATAGTGTTCCTGAGAGCTTGGCTTAAGGAACACCTCTCTGTCTAGACACTTGAATCCACTCTAGCTACAGTCTGGTTTGGTTTATTTTGTTTTCTGAAGAGTTCCTAGCTGGCAGGTGGGTATCAGGTTCAAGGAGGCCAACAGGGAAGGTTGTGGGTCTGAAAATAAAACTTCTAACTCCTCCTGGCTTCACTGCCACTGTTGTGACAGGAAAATGAACTCAGAATGGGAGTAAATGAGAGAACGTGGCATTTCATGGCATTTCCTGAGGATGGCCAGGAGAGCATATTGCCTGTCAGCTCTCCGTGGGATCCCAGTGTGTATCTTAACAAGTACTCGGAGCAGTAGCCGTTCTGCAGCAGCTTGCTCTCTTTCTGCTGGTAGCCATATTCGCTACGAGTGTGTTTGAGACAGCTAGAGCTGTTGCTGCCTTGTTCGTTGCCCTGGGAGGGTTGGAACACCTCTGTCAGTGGTTCAGTAGAGGGAGTTGCTTTCATTTTGAAAAATACGCTTGAATTTTGGGAACTGGCAAGCCAGTGGAGCAGACAGAGAGTTGAATAGCACCTAAATCAGTCTTTGCAGCACCAAAAGCTTTGTGCCTCAAAGTGAGGAGGCAGATTGACTGGCTCTTCCCAGGGGAACTGCTGACAAGGAGAGGAGCTATGCCCTGGGTAAGGAGGAGTTGCACAGCTTCTGAGTAGAGCTGCAGGAAGGGGAGGGAGTTATCTAATTTTGCACACTTCGGTCTGCAAGTATAAGCCTTAAATTTTGCTTGATCTTAAATCTTGATTTATCTTAAATTGGCTGCTGAGTCTAAGGAAGGGAATTTTTCTCCTCCTAACAAGCAGCAAAAAACATGATTCGAGTCAGAACACTGAGGGACTCCTAAGGTGCTTTAAAGCTCCCATGTGCTTGTGCTATAGGTTTTCTGAAAGCCATAGGAAATCTGCTATATTTGATTAAATTTTCATTGCAGGTCTTTGAATTTCTCATCCGGCTGCATTCAACTGAGGGATCCGTGGATGAAGAGGTCTACCCTTATGTTCGTACCTTGCTGCACTTTGACACTCGGGAGTTTCTTAACGTTCTTGCTCTGGTAAGAGATTGCTGATGTCCTCCAAGAGAAAAATGCAGCGCCAGTTCCTCCATCATCTATGTCATGGTTGCATGATCTGTAAGATTCCATTAAAAAGTGCATGCTTTAGCTAAACCAGTAGTTAACTGGCTTGATGCGGGAACAGTTTTGATATGTGTTCTGTAAGATACCAGAGGAGATCATAATAGTCCTTTATGTCCCTAAATATAAATTAATGAAAGTACCATTATACAGTGAGAACTCTGGTAACAGAAGGCATCTTTAAAGTGCAGGTAAAACAAAAATAATGTGTTCGTAAAGAGTATTGTAGTACCTACATCTTTCTCCTGCATAATGTCATCTTCCTTTCCAAGTTTCTTGAATTTCCTCTGTCTCTTTGGACCTGTTACTTTTACCTGAACATATAAGAACCAGTTTGGTAGTTCCAAAAGAGCAAATTGTATTTTAGAACCTGCTGCTTAGGTGATATGCGCAAAAAGGACTTAAAGGCGTGGTCAGCTTTGTGATATGGCTGCTTTGTGTTTGCTTGTATTTCTGGGGTTGGCAGTGGAGAGCATTCTTCTCAAGGTGTTGGTGTTTTGCCTCATGCAGACTTTTGAAGACTTCAAGAATGACAAGCAAGCTGTGGAATATCAACAGAGAATTGTGGATATACTTCTGAAAGTGAGTGTGCCTAGAAATTAACCTCTGTGTTTACATCTGACGGATTATATACACCAGTGTGCAGTAAAGCCTGTAATTTGGATGAGGTATTTCCAGTCCTGCCCAGGATGACACCTTTGAGAAGGTGGTGGACTGGAGTGTGGATTCACCTCAGCCAAGGCTGACGGTTGGCTATTTGAAAGTGATGCTTAATGCCTATTAAAGATGGTGACAGAGATCTCCTTTCCTGTCTGTGATTTCATCCGAGTGGTACTTTGTTGTCAGATTTCTCCTCTCTGCACTGTTTATTTTATCTGCTCATCATTGATTCCACTCCCTCATTCTTTCTGAGCAGGAAAAAAGGTCCCAGGAATTCTGGGCTTGGCAGGATGCCAGTGCTCTTCTGATAAAACCCTGCTCCCTGAATCTGTAAATGCTGTGTTTGGGATTTAACGTACCCAGAATGACAGGCTTAACTTTAGTAAATGGGAGAGTAGAGGAATGTCGGAATTATCAGCCTGGTGCACTAGAAATCACTTGTCATCTGCAGCCTGTGTTCCTTAACAATGAATGTTCTCATTAAAAGCTATTGCTGCCAAATGCCATTTGCTTTCCCCTTCAAAGCTGTCAGCATTAATAATGAGTAACTCCACTTGGAAGCTGTTTATGTATAAACATATCATAAGTAGCGTTTCCCTGTCACTGTCATCATTGATAGATGAGAGCAGGGGCACCCGTGAGTGAGTTCGGCGAGAGCGCTGCTGCAGTCGGCTGGGTTGGAGAGGCTGAGATAATGCCGCTGTGGGGGACTTTTGTGAGTTTGGCTGAGTAGGACGTTGCTGTAAGGGTGTTGGTTAGCCCTGTGCTGGGTTAGACCCTGCTTTTTTATGTCTTTAGCTGCTGTCAGCAGGAGGTGGCACACTGCAGCTGTGTTCTGGAGCTGCTGAAGGATGTGTTCCTGTGGCACAGTGTAGGCTGGATTGAGCTGTTTACAGCCCTGCTCTGTGCTGCTGGCCATGTAATGAATGAGTTCTGTCCACTACAACAGAATTCAAACCTGCTCTTGGAGGTAAAAAGGAGTGTGATTTTGAGAAGTGCTGCAGGATGAGATGCATCTGCAGGCAAACAATTTGCTGTTACAAGAACTCTCAGTCCCTTGGTCTGGAATCTGCTCTCCTTTTGGATAAAAATAAAAAAAATCTTGGAACTTTTTATTTAAATTTATCATTGGCAGAAAAAAACACTTAGGAAATAGCCACACTTTTAAAATAAGTTTGGCCAACGTAGACATTCTGCTAATGCTGATCTAAACTTTGCCAAATATATCGTCTTTTAGAAAGTCCACCTGGTTGGCCTGCAGCCTCTGTAACATTGCTCTCTTTCAGAGATACAGTATTTTCACCTTCACATGAGGACCCAGTTTGTGAAAAACAAAGCCAAAGTGAATACAACACTTCTATTGTTTTAGTGAGCCATACTTTTAATGCTATCAGCTAATGCCATTCTGAGTCATCTCCTGTATGAAATAGCCTTTTTAAAACAGAAAATGAAGAATAAAAAAGAGTGATAGCATTAGCTGATGTTTCAAGCAGAGCTCTAATTGATTCCTTAATGTGTCTTACCTGTCTGCCTCCATGTGTGCAAGATAACCATTAGCATCTCATGGGTATCTGGAACTCTGGATCTCTTTAAGGAATCGATTGTATCTCCCAAGCTTAGACTGAATGAGTTCATAAACTGTGAGATGCTCCATGTCTAGAGTTTGCTAGAGCAATTCTTGGATGTTAGTTGACAGTTGTTCAGGTGATGGATTTCCTCACAGCTCTTAGAGGGGAACTCTACAAACAGGGGCATTTCACTTTCCTTTAGTGTTTAGGATTTTTTAGAAGCATGATACACTAAGTCAGGACATGTTATGCTTGTTTTTTGCATGCCAGACAGGTGATAAGCACTTTTCAGGTTTCAAATCCCTTTTATAGTGACTCGTAGATATTCTGTTTTTCTGTAATTCCAAGTCAAGTCAGCACAGCCACAAGTTTTTTAAAATATTCATAGACTAACAGTTAATTTAATGTGAGAAAAGAAACTTTCCCCAAACCTTTGATCATTTCTTAGTCATTTGATCAGTTCTTCTACATACCACTATTGAAGTGGTGCGTGCCTGGGGCTTGAAGTTAAGTGTTGGGGTTTTTTTCTTTTTTAATAATTACTAGTTTTATCTCTTTTCCTCATGTGACAACATTTCTGTGCTCAGAAGCTCTGTTACATGTCCAGCGATCAGCACAGATTACACAGATGGAGATAAACCTGGGTTTGGAGCCCCTTTGCACCCAAAAATCAGGGACATACAAGAATGCTTCCCTTGAGTATATGGCAGAGAGGTTGAGCCCCTTCAGCTTTAGGACAGAGGTGATTTAGCAAGGACACATCCACTGTCTGTGTTTTCATGTGACACAGTTAAATGCCATGGAAGGTGGCTTATCTTTTGAGGATGGACTAGCAGCAGGAGATTGTGTAGATGTCTGAGGCAGGAGGAGACATAATGGGTGTACAGGGATTTCTTGTTGCAATGTCCTGATTGCTTTCCCAAAGGCAGCTGCAGAATCAATCCCTTGTATTTTTATTTTTCCCTTTTCCCTCTAATGTTTCTCAGGTCATGGTAGAGAATTCTGACTTCACCCCATCTCAGGTTGGCTGTCTCTTTACCTTCCTTGCCCGTCAGCTCGCCAAGCCCAACAACACATTGTTTGTGAACAGGACGCTTTTTGACCAGGCAAGTATTCCTTTGTGAGAGGTGGGAAAAATTCCATACAGTGTGCAGCGCTGCAGAAACTGTGGCTAATTCTGTGAACTGAAGCGATTCTGGAAGGACTGGTGCGTTATAGAACCTACCTATAAACCCAGTAGCATCTTGCTGGGACTTTGCTGTGGTTTCAGAGGAGCAGAGTAGAAGAGTCCACAGAAGCACAGTAAGCTCCGTATTTCAGCTTGCCTGCTGGAATTGTGGGAAAAATAATCAGGTCCTAGGAAAGGGGACAGCCTCTGCTCCTCTCCATGGAATGGCAGGTTCCTGTGGTCACTAGTGTGTCAGGAGAGGGAAAGCAAAGGCCCACAAGGGCAGGAACCAAACCGTGTATCTTTAAGCCTCAGTGAGCATTTTGGTGGCTTTGTTGTCACTTGTTACGTATATGAAGATGCCAAGATAGGGAGATAGAAGATGCGAATTAAAGTGACACTAGTGAGCTTATAGAGCTTGCATATGTAGCTGGTAATTTCTAGTTTGTGTGGCCACCATCCTTCTCTGCTGTTTGAAATAGGCTGATATGCACCAGTGCATGCCTAAAGTTTGCACAGGTTGAGTTTATATCCCAGTTTAAATCCCAGAAGTTACTGGGACTGAGGAGGTGGCTTCAATGGCTACAGCAGTTGCACTTTGATTATACAGGTATATGAACGCTAATAAAAAGTGGGTTAGAAAATACGTGTACTTTGTCATAATTTAAGAACACAGAACTCTGTGGAGGCTAAATGGATTTGGATTAAACACTTTAATTACAGGTATATTACATTTTATGAACGATATGATTTCCTGTTTTTCTGGGAGAGTTGGCACAGTCCAGGAGCGAAGTTGAGAGGGTCAGCATAGTTGTTCCAGCTGTTTGGAGTGTGGCCCAAGGCAGAGCCTTGGGGTCTCTGGGTGGTTCTATGTTCCCTGAGTTCCCCAAAGTTTGGTTCTAGATCCTGGTGCAGGGTCATGGGTTTCGCTCCCTGGAGTCTTTCAGCGGTTCTTGGTTACTCCCGTGTTCTTAAGTGTCCTTAGTCACAGGACTGAGTAGAAAGTGCCCCACAGATGAATAGTACATTCAAATTGCACTGTTGTATTCTGCTTTGCTGTTGCCATTGTTGGTGCTCTCAATCTGCTCGTTAGGTTTATGCTAACAGCTATGCTAACTAGACCTAACTTGTGCTAACATCTACACCCTTGCACAGGTCCTTGAATTTCTGTGCAGTCCGGATGATGACTCCCGCCATTCAGAGAGACAACAGGTAATGACCTTCAAGGGAACTTTTCTTTAAGCACCAGGTATGACCAGACTGTAGAGCAGAGTTCAGCCTTATTGGGAAAGTACGCTGGCTGAAGGTCATATGCCAAAGCAGACACCTAGCATGGGAATGGTGGCCAACATGGAAGAACTGGGCAGTGCTGTATGCAGCAGAAGTGAAGGAGGATCCTACTCCAGCATTGCCTGCATGACCTTCATAGTTAATGGACAATCAATTTAAAAAAATCTGCAAAATAAGCCCTGTGTTAATACAAAGTTTAGTAGAGCAGGAGCAGTGTACTTTTAATGGCACTGGCTGTCCAGCTGCTACTGCAGTATAAATAACTGGTCTTCAATATCTGCAGGTCCTTTTAGAATTGCTGCAGGCAGGAGGGATAGTACAGTTTGAAGAGAGCCGTCTTATCCAAATGGCAGAAAAAGCTGAATTGTAAGTTGCTGCATACAATATATAAATACTGCCTTTAAATCTTGTGTATGATATTTAAATACTGCATTTAAATCTCCTTGAAAGCTTTTTTTTTTTCTTCCACATTTCTTTGCAGCTGTGTTTGAGATTATTCTCCCAAAGCATTCACATATGCTTCATTAGTGTGTTTGTATTTAGTCCCAGTCTTTCTATCTTATCTCTATGGGTTGTTCTTACAGAAAGCATTATTAAGATAACAGAGGGTAGAGCTGTGGGAACCCTTCAGCATGAAACCCCATGGGGCTTGATGAGTTTTGGCAGTTCCTATCCTAGAGCCCAGGCTTTGTTCAAAGGTACAGTTGTATATTTGAGTGCTCTACCACTGGCAGATGGAGATGACTTGGTGGGGTGAGACCCACAGGTGGATTTAAAAGCACGAAGGGGTCTGGAGCCACCCTCATGGTACTCATTTTAGAACTGAGTAGGAGAGACAAACACAGTGTCTGGAAAGGCTAAAAATTTCCACCATCTCCTTGAAATACTTTACACTTCCAGGAAGAGTCTGTCATGCCTGAACAAAGTCAGCCAGGGAGAGGCATCTTCATCCAAGTCCTGAATTTGGATGTTATGTGAATTAATCCACCATACTGCAAAGGACCAGAGGGACAGAAGTGCAGTGTGGGATATGCCACATCTGTTTTCCTGTGTGTCCTAGAAGGAGTTACTTGACCAAGTTTTTCAGACTCAAGAAATGCATATTTTGGTCCTTGCTTCAGAGGATTTGACTGCCAGTACCACCAGCTCAGCCACTTCATCAGAGCAAAAAGGCCTATTGTGTAATGTTGGTTAGCAGACTTTTCATTTGCATCTGTTAACCCCAATCTGTTAACAGTTGCATCTGTTTTTAACTAAAGTCTCAAAATATTAAAGATGTTTATTAAAATCTGAAGGTAGGAAGCTGTGTCATAACACATTATTGAGTCATCTTCAGTGTATTCTTCAAACTAGTATTGTGGACTGATCTAACTTAGAGCCAAGTGTGTTCTAGAAATAAGGAAGATGATCTGTGAACAGCAGAACCAGTGAAACCTGATTTCTTTAAGAATTTTTGTCCTCTGTCCCTTGCCTCACACCTTAGTAACTACTTTTCTCTGTTCTGTATGATAAATTCCCCAAAAAAGGAGGTTGGTAAGCTGTTTGGCCTGTGGCTGATACCAAGTGGTACATGTAAACTGGAGCCACCCAGCCTGAGTGCTGAAAACCTGTCCAAATGCTTTTTGTAAAACATGCTGTATTTTGGGTGCTGCCAAGCTGTGCTGGATCTGAGCTACCTACTTGTATTCTACTGACTCAGCTGAATGAGGGTGTTTTTCCTAATGTGGAAAGTATTTTTAATTTCAGCTATCAGATTTGTGAGTTCATGTATGAACGAGAGCTTCGCTATGACAAAATAATTGGCTGTTACTTGCGTGATCCAGTGAGAAAGGTGAGTAAATCTGGTGCTTCTGGCCTTTCTGCTTCGTAGAAGCAGAGTGTGAATGGGCACAACAGCCCCACTGTTCTGTTGTACTTCTCTATCTTAAAAAATATTCTCCTTTACAGCTGAGTTTTCTTAGTTATAGTCAAGACCTTTTGTGTTTGTGTGTGTGTGTTGAAGATTTGATTCTTTTTTAAAGCTTCAGAGTTTTTGGTTTCTTTTTCAACTTAAACAATGCTAACCCTCTTTTCTCTCCTTGACCAGAGTCTCTCTGCCCTTACTACCTCTTTGCAACTACCTTCTGACTGTCTGCATGTTTATAAGCTCATATCTGGCACAGATTTTGAACTGTTCTCTTCCCTACCACCAACAGAAGTTGGGAGGAGTGTCTGGCAAATGTGATCTCACCAGCTCCTTATGAAACCACTATGCTGAAAGTTGTGTGGGTGAAGGAGTCAGAAGAGATAGGTTGTGATTGTGAAACAGTGAAAAAATATGGTACAGGAGAGCATCTGAGCTGAGGACAGCACATGAGAACCTGGGGGAGAGGCTAAAGTTGAAGAGGAATTCAGGAATATGCTGTGGGAGGACTGACCGACCCTCTGGTAGCACGTTCTTTTCTCTGCCTGTGCTCCCAGCTAGAGGGTCATGTCCTGGCCTTTTTGCCTGTGAGCAAGAGGGGGACATTTCTAATAGTGGAAGAACAATTCTCTTTGACCTCAGTGCTTAACACGTTTAGCATCAATTCAGTTCCTTTTGGCTTTTTTTCCCCTGGCAGTTCTTCAGGACCTATTTAGACATACAGTCTCCTCTGCAGATAACTTACCCTGACTTGCTAAGAGAGGACTAACCTTGAGGTCATCCAAAGGCTGTTTGAAATGCTCTCCCTTACCAAAACCTAATGCTGTTAGCGGCACTGCAGAACATACTATACCATTTATGATTTTATGCCTTACAGGAAGAAGTTTTCAACTATATTCACAACATCCTGTCCATGCCTGGCTACAGTGCTGAAGAAAAGCAGTCGGTGTGGCAGAAAGCTTTGGAACATATAGAGGTATGGTATATCCTAAACCCATGGTACCTGAGCTACTGCTAACTCCTGTTGGATCTGCCTAGTGCTCTCTGTAGGCAGAAGTGTTGCAATGTCAAATCACAACTGTTTAGGAAGCTCTGACTTTAAGGTTTAGTAGTCTTGTACATTAACATGAGTGCATCTCTTAGATTCAGGCTGCTTTCAAGTATTGCTCTCTGGATAATGGGACCTTCTCAGGGGATGATGGCTAGTGAGTGCTGTGTAGCAGGGAAGGGATCCATTAGCAAGTCTTTCATCTCCTGAGCATGCAGCAGCAGTAAGGTCAGAAAGGACATTGACATCGCTGACCTCACAGTCTGTGGTATCACGTTCCTCATCTTACAATGATAATAGCATTCAGCCTTGGTACCCTGGCACTTCTAACCTGTGGGAAGATGGGGTCATGACTTCTGCTGTAAGACACAGACTGCTGCTAGACTTCTCTAGCTAATAATTTTTCCCATCTCTTCAATCTCTATTTGCTTCAGGGGATGGAGATGTGTCTGAAATAATTGTCCAGTCAGTAGATATGGGGAATCCATACTATTTCTAGCTCCTGTAAGATGGTGTCAGTCTGCTTCAGGGTGATCTGGGGATAAGCCAGGAAAATAACTCTGTCTATAAAACAAGCAGTCATGCACTTGCCCAGGCTACTTACAGGATACAGACTTCTGTGGCCATTTTCTGCTGAGACAGACAAAAAAGTACAAGGTGCATTTGAAAGATACAGAATCCTTTTGGTCTCTACCAGCATCTGCAAGTAGTGCCTGATTAATGAAAAAAAACAGATCAAGAGGGATAGTGATTCAAAAGACAATAACAAAGAAATCCAGTGAATCCAGCTGTATGGCACGCAGCTCGCTGAGCCTGCACCCACTCTCCAGGTGCATTTTTGGAGCCTATGGGAATTGGTGGTGGTGATGGTTGTGCTGTGGCTGAGCAGGCCTAGCTCATTACTGCCTTATCAGAGACCTGTGGTTCCACGCTGGGCTTTCCAAGTTGAGCCAACTGCTGTCTGGTGTACTGCTTCCTTGTGTCTGCTTTGTTCTTCTTCTGCATCCCTTGTCTCTGCTTGTATTGGTATATACAGCCCAAACTGTTTGGCATTTTGAGTGAGTGAGCCTCGCTCTGTGTAAGCCTTATTGTGTCTTTATCAAATCACAGGGAGATCTCCTTGCTGGGTCTCTTCAACCTGAGGCCTTTACAATTGTTGTTCTATGCTTGGGTGTTTCAAGAAAAATCAGAAATGTCCTGGGTTGCCTTTCCTGATGTTTCTCATTGTGTTGTACAGGTTTTGATAAGCTGGCAGCCTTAGCCTACGACAAGCATTTTACATTGAGTTGTTTCGTTTTGTTTTATCAGTCTGGAGCCACTCCTTGATTATTGTGCAGCATCAGAAGTGCCCAGTGCCCAACTTGTCAGAGCTGCCTACTTTTCTGAAGTTGGCAAATAACAGAAAATATTCCTCTCGGCTTGTCCATGGCCATCCTTAAAAACAGGGTTACTTGCACTGCTCCTCCAGCCTTGCAGATAACAGCCAGCTGCTTTTACCTACACTTTTTGCAACTTCCTCCAAAAAGCTGCTGGGCAGATTGGTTCTTTAGGTCACCTTTCTTGGGTGCTGGCACTGAGATTAACTCCCTCTTTCCTTTTCAGCATGTTCTATTTCCCAGGATTGGGGAACAGTACATACAATTTCATGTGGCTTAGCAGCTTATTGGCTGCTATGGACTTTTGTTCTTTTCCATTGTATTCATCCTGCTCTCTAACATTCAGAAGACTTAAAATAGTAAATAGCATTTTACTAGGATGATGCTGTGATTGCAGGCCTTTGAACAACCATCCTTTCATCTGGTGAGGTATGAAAGTAGCAAACCAGCCTCTTCAGTTGAAACTAGCAGTGTCTAGAGAAGCTTTTCTGTTAGCAGTTCTTTCCTGGTGATCATATGACAGAAAGTGGAGTTTGTAATCAGTGCCACTTCTTCTTTTCTTCATTATCCTACATACCTGTTGTTCCTTGATTTTTACCTTGAAAATAAAGCCTAAGGCTTCTCTTCAATCATTGTGCAGTTTGTGTGCAGTCACTTTCTGCCCTCAGACCCACGTGCCTTGTGTCAGTACTGCCTCTTCAAGGGCTGTCTGCCCAAGAAGCACCATGTTTGCAAATTACTCAAACCTGGGAGAGGATGAAAACCCAAGCCCAACACATTTTGCTTGGGGGTAGGCTGTGAAGGTCACACTGATTCAAGAGCAGCAATCAGTTACAGGGATGCTGGGCCATCTCACTCCAGCCAGTCTGAATTTGGTGTCTGCTACATCTGTCTGGAGACCAAGCTACTGCTAAGTAACTCTTTCAGATTTTTATTTTCTTCCAGATGTACGTTTTTGTTTAGTAAAGCAATGTTGTATCCTTTGTAGGCTTAGCAGGGGCTTTTGGGAAGGGTTACCAAGTACCCACTATTGGTTTGAAGCAGTTGTTTTCATTTATTTGGAAGCATGGATGCATTTGGAAGCATTAGGAGCAAAAAACTCATGTTCTGGATTGTGTGAACTTGTATGGTATGAAGCGTCTTAGATCAAGCTTGACAGCTTTTTCTTTTATTACAATAAAGAAATTTTATAGGGTTTTTTCATGTCTGGACAGGTATCAGTTACAGTTAACAGTTACAGGAAACCTGCTTTTAAACTTGTGGTTCAGTTCAAGCCAGTTAAATGCTGTTTCCATTTGACTGAGAAATTCCCTAGGGTCCACTGAGGACTTTGTTTCCTCTCTGCTGCTGGCTCCTAGTTGGCACTAGAAATGTCTTGTTGGCAGGAGGTAAAAGGCAGCTGTCAGAAAACCTGATGAGTAATTTCCTTGCCTTAGGACTGAGATGGAGTCTCGTTGGTGTGAAGAGTTTTGCATTCTTACGAGACCTGTTGTGTAGTAAAATCATCAACTTTCAAAAATGCAACAAACTACCCTTCCTTCTAATTTTTTTCAAATTCACTTTTTGTGCGATGATATTCATTACTGCTTTCATGTAGGCAAAGATGCAGTTACAATGTGAATGGACTCTGATACTGCATAATTATATTGCCCATGAAATTAAAAGTAATTATTTTTCTTGTGTTTCCCTCTCCAAAGGAGCTGCTGTTGCTGAACCCGTGTAAAGCAGCTGACTTGGTAGCCATTCACTTCAGTGAGCAGATTGAGAGCATCATTACAAACCTTCAGGTGAAGTGTCAGACTTCATTGATGGTGCTTCTTTACAGTGGAGTTGCTGTTCTTGGAAGAAATTATTGCTAAGAGTAATGGTAAACTGATGCTGTGTCATAAACACAAGAAAAACAGCTTGATAGCTACTTGGCTGCAGGAATTGCTACATTTAAATTATTTGACCTGTTTGTGGAGTTCTGGCCATAAAAATTTGCAGTCTCTGAGTTGCTGGTTGCACCACTTGATTATGCAGTTTTTCGTCTGGTGTTCAGTATGACTTACGCTCACAGAGCAGATAGAGCTGTTGTCAGCAAATACATCTTCTGAGTATTTATGCAAGACAAATGCCTAAACCAACTTCTTCAGTAGGCACCAGCTCTGAACAGTATTTTCTTCAATGGATATAGTTCAGGAATCACTGGTTTGTAGCACATTATGTAAAATAGTAATACTCTGTCTCCTTCTGCTGTACAGGATCAGTTCTTACTCTTCCAGTTTCTGAGGAGTCTCCTCGATCCAAGGTATGTAAGAAAAGGGCACCTTTTACAAACTACAGCTTGAAAACATGGGTTAAAATAAATTCCTTTGGAACAGTGCATCAATAGACAGTCTACAGCCAAGACTAGAGCTTAGAGAAGGTGACTTGCTCTTCAAACTGCCCAAAGGTGAGAAGGATAACCCTGAAATAAGTGTTTTGGGGAGGGTCCTTCAGCAGAGCCCTTGCTGGCTTCCTAACTGGGAAGTGGTGTGGGTTCCAGTATGTGCAATGTGATGCCTCCCCCATGCTGGTGGGAGTTTGGGCATTGCAGTAACAGCTTCGTTGAGAAGGCTGTGAAATGGTTACCCTGTGACTGGAACTGCCATTTCTCTTCTTGGAAATGGCAGTTTCTGTTATCAACCCACTGGTTTGATTACTTGACCAAGGTGCCCAAGTTTGACATAAATAGCAAAGTGTTTTGGTCTATTGACATTTTTCGTTTCTGTCTTATTTCAGAATCGCTGCTGTATTTCACTGCAGACTTCTCTATAACTACTTGCTTGCTCCATCTGCTTCTGTTTCAGTATTTTCAGCAGTGTTCTCTTTCTGTTGAATCAGTTTCAAATGCTACAAAACCTTGATTTTATTTATTTTGTAAGGCATTTATATATACACAGCTCCAGTTGCCTTCAAGCAATTGTTAATGCAATTGAAGGAGAGATCTTGTTTTGTCAATTACCTGCAAATTAATTGTGCTTTATGAGGAGGAGTAGTAGCAATATTATCTGAATTCACAGATTCACAGAATGGTTGAGGTTGGAAGGGACCTCTGAAGGTCATCTAGTCCAACCCCCTGCCCCAGCAGGGACTCCTCAAGCACATGAACCAGGATTTTGTCCAGATGGTTTTTTAATATCTCCAGGGAGGGAGATTCCGCAACCTCTCTGGGCAGCCTGTTCCAGTGCTGTCACCCTCACAGTAAAGAAGTTCTTCCTTTTGTTCAGGTGGAACTTCCTACGCTGCAGTTTATGCCCATTGCCTCTTGTCCTGTTGTTGGGCGCCAGTGAGAAGAGTCTGGCCATGTCCTCTAGACACTTTCCCTTTAGATATTTATAAACATTAATCAGATCCCCTCTGAGTCGTCTTTTCTCCAGGCTGAAGAGGCCCAGCTCCCTCAGCCTTTCCTCACATGAAAGATGCTCCAGTCCTTTAATCATCTTAGTCACCCTTTGCTGGACACACTCCAGGAGTTCCATGTCCTTCCTGTACTGGGGAAGACCCTTGTGTTCTGTAGAGATCCTAGATTGTCAGAGGGGTTTGTTTGGTTTTTGGGTTTTGGGGATTTTTTTTTTTAGTAACAGTCGAGGTTCTGTGGTCTCTTTTCAGTGCTATGAGGTTGTCTCCTTCTAAGACGTATTGAAAGGAGCTGAATTGTGTCCCGAGAGATGTAGGAAAGGAGGGAGAAATCTTGCTATGCAAGACCTAATCTGCTGATATACTTATACTTTAGAGTATAGACATAAAATAGTGATTTTCTTCTGAAACATCTCTCTCTTTTCAGTCAGTCTAAATGTTTATATGCTTTTCTGAGCAAAATTCTTATTAAAAAGAAGACTCTCAGAGCAGTAAATGAGCTTTTAATGTCTCAAATACGAATGATTGCTTGATCATATGTGGACAAGACTGATCATGCTAGTATAACTGTCCTAGTTGGTGGAATTGCATTGGGGATTAATTTGGCCCATTTAATTTAGCTAGAGATTTATTTTAAAGGAGGTGGAAGGGGGAAGGGAGGAAACAGGGTTAACAGAAATTGCCTGGGGAAATTAAAACCAAATGTCCGTCTGTTTGTATCAGCCACAGAAAATGGAGAATGTAGTGTGTATTGCTCAGCTCATTAATCGCAGCCTTTGCTACATTTCCATTTTAAACTCCTTTTTCCTCTAAAAAAACCAATGCAGTGAAGCTTGTCTGTTTGCAGTGTGTGTTTGTGTATTATACCAACAATATTAACTTACTTAGCAACACAGTGTTCTGGGTCTATAAATTAGTAACAGGCAATTATATATAATATGTTTATACTATATATATATATATATTTATATAAATAATTAACAGATAACTAAACTTTTAGTTTCCGTTACAATGGCTCTCCTCACTGACCAGCTATCTGTGCCACTTGCAAGACTCACCTGTGCCAGGTTTTGTGAGAAACCAGTGATTTTAGGAAAGAGCATGTAGAGTATGGCAGTGGATATGTTTGGCATGGATATACAGAAGAAAACCACGTTGAGCTGAGCAGGACCTGCAGGTCTCAAGACTGGTGCTTAGTTTTTAACATTATCAAAATGCAGCTTTCTTTCTGTTCTGTCTTGTCTGCATTTCTTGAGTGAAATGGTTAAGGAAAAGGTCAGCTTGCTCATAAAGTCATGAATACTAGGTGCCAGAGTTATTTCCAGACAAGAAGTTTGTTTCTGTACTAAAAATGTATGACTTGCCATCTTTCCATTTTGGTACACAAGAGATCATTTTAGATAGAAAGTGCTTCTTTGTTTTAGTCTAGTCACATAAAGAGTAGAATACTCACTCCCTTACAGGCACTGGGGGAGTTTATAGGGGGTGTTTTGTGAGAGGAGTGGATCGTGAATGCAGGAGGCAAGAATTTAGGGTTCTTGTTTGGTCCTTCAAAAGTCCATTCTTTATTTGATGTCAGAACTCAATAGTTTGGATGCCAATTTTGATACAGCTGTGTCCATACTTCGGATACTGTGATCGGTATCTGTGTGAGGCTTTAATTTCTGGGCAAATATAATTTATAATCAAGTGATTGACATTGTAATCACAGCAAGCTTCTTTTGTCTTGCTAAGGGCACAGCGTTCTCCTGGCCTTTCTTGGATAATAATAATCCTATTACCTCTTGTAGCTCCTGGGAAATAGAGGATCATATTGTGTATGAGACCTTTTCCATCCCATGGGTGTAGGGTTTGCACATCAGCACATCTCCTCCTGATTAGGAATTTCTGTTCAGAAAGGTACCAAACTAAATACATACCTTGATTTGTTTTTTTGTTCTTTTTTTGGTTTTTTGTTTTTTTTTTTTTTTTTTTTTTTGGGGGGGGGGGTGTTTTTCTTCCCTAGCAGGAGCTTCAGAACAAGTTTAAGAGCCCTGCTTTCTAGATGGGATAAACTTCTGCAAGGTTTCTCTGCATGATGCATCAATCCTAGAACTGTCTAGAAGTGCCTAGAACATGAAGTTTAACCTACAGTGGTGGTGAATTGCTGTTCATTCTGAAGGGCTGCGGGTCCTATATATGTCTGTAGGAAAATATCATCTTTTCCATCCTAACTCTTTGAAATCTCTTGCTTCTTGTTGCTCTTGTTTTTAAAAAGATCAGTAGAAAACAGTCAGGACACAGGGACAGTCATGGGCAATGCACACAATTCTATTCCCTCTTTTGTTTACCCCTTGTTATGAGTTTACTTGATAATAAGCCAAGGGATGAGAAAATGACCACTGCATAAACCACTGCAGTGCCAGCAGCTGCTGCTGGAAAGGAATTGGAGAAATCCTTTTTGCAGGAACATCTTTATTAAATGAGTTTACTTGTACTGTAAGCTTCATTTGTAGAAAACACCTTGGCTAGAATCAGAAGGGAAGCCCTAGTTTGGCCTCCTGAATGGCTTGGGCCAGGCAGCATTATCTACAGCCCTACCCAGAAGAAAAGAGTGTCAGGTCTGCATGGCTGAGCGCCTGACCATCTGTGACAGGGCAGGGAGATAACAAGGGTAGGACACACAGCAGAAGTTGGAGACTTCACCTACCTGTGTTGGTTAAGCAGATCCTGTGCTGGGAGAGGAGGCAGATGTCTTTAATTCCAGCTGAATATGGGTCTGTGGTGCAACTGGTTGCAAAACTCTTGAGAGAGGATGCAGCCTCTGGCTGAAAAACATGCAGGGTCTGATCCAAAACCTTCCAG